CAGTTGAAGTTTATAAGCGTATATGACAGGAGTTTGATTAATAGCTTTTTATTCATTGTTTATTAGTTACTGCTTTGCAATGCTTTAACCGAGAGACGCATCCCTGGTAATCACGTGATCATGCTGTCGACTGCAGCGATTGGCTGGTCGCTTGGTTACACCGCCACGCCTTAGTTTTTTTTGACCTTTTGATGTAGAGTTTGTAACCTTAGTAACGGAGACAGTGCAGCGAAGGGTTACCTCAGCGAACTGTTTGAGAAAAGTGAGTCGTTTGGTAGCCTTTCCCTTGTTTTTGATTTATAACCGTTGATATTTGAGACTTTATAACCATTGTATTTAGACATTATAATCATTGTACTTAATTAGTGTGTTTTACTCTTTTGATTCATACCGTTTTCTTAGTATTGTATTTAACTTGTATGACGAAGAGTAGAGGACGGTATCTTTGATTTATGAACGTGTTATGCCAGAAGGCACAATCTCAGTTTGGGTGAAGGGATGTGTCATGAAGTTGTTTACGCGTATCTGTTGGTCGACTTAATTAGCTGATTATTAGCGAATTGGTGTGTTATGTCTGTCATCGTTTAGGCCTATTTGAAGTTTTGGACGGAACTTGGCTCAGTGATTTGGAACTAATTACCAGATAACAGTTGGTATCCGTAGTTATTAATGTAGTGAACGACTAATCAAAAGATATGACGTGTTCAGTGCTTAGTGTGATGGCTTTATGATTGAAGGTTACGCCCTAGAGTCTTTTTTGTGCTTTGTAAATGGTTAGAGTTTTGAAAATGAATAAAGAGAGTTTGAGTCGGTCTTGGCAAGTACTCTACGACAGATGCAGTCGAGGGGAGTCCTGGAGAGCCTTGGGGAGAGTGTTGACGCAGTCTAAAAGAGTCTTGGGTCAGCCTTGCGATAGTCTTGGGGAATTTTTCCCCAGGGCGCTGTGTCTTATAGAGTGCTCGATTGACCAACTAAGACGAGAGCTGAAACGTATTTCGTTGTGTGTGTCTTATTTGACTGTAAAGTAAAGTGACTTTCCCGATCACTTTCCATCAAGGGGACGAGATATAGAGACGAGACGAGTTTCCCCCCTGACAAGTGTGGAGAACCCAGAGAGAGAAGAATTTCCCCCTGATAGTTGTTTCGAAAAAGCGAGCGTGGTTTCTGTAATATGGGCCCGGTCATTTTTGTAAATCGATGTTTTCGTAACCCGATGTTCGTAACTTAATGTCCGTAACTCGAACAATCCAGCATCTCGTAAACTAATATACATATATTATGTCATCTGCAGGTTATGCGAGCACAGGAACAGAAGAGATAGTGGGGAGGTCTCCTACGATATATCAAAATATCTAACAATGCGGTATGAGACAGCGCCTCTGTTAAATAACAAGTCTTTTCCTGTAGTAAAACGGAAAGCGAAATTACCACTTAAACAAGTTAATATAGCTGTACAGACAGACATAGATGAAAAAGTGAACAGTCAACTGATGGAAGTGGACGCTAACATATCCAAGAGAATTCAGCAGTTTGAGAACGACTTGAGACACATGCGAGAGGCGTTGGCCAGGGCGCTAAAAGAAAAAGAACATTTGTTAAGAAGGTTGTCTAAGTTCGAAAATATAAATAAAAATGGGAATTCAAATTCCGCAGACAATTCGTTGCATGGCATGGCGCTGCAATGGAACGCACGAGATTCAAAACACGACGACGTCAAATTGGACTGCACTTCAAAAGCTGACAACCCGCTGTTGGATTTTACTTCATTCAGCAGTATTCCCAAAGTGCGGTATAAGAACGTATTGAATGAAGGCAACGACAATGACCTCGTACAACCCGTTAATTTTAAACCGAACTCGAAAGTATTTAAACCCAGGCCGAGTTTGAAAGACACACTATACCCACCACCGGATTCCCCACGATGATTCGCGCTACCAGTGATGGCACACTGTTGTGCATTTAAAGCTTCAACCATCCGACCATCACCAAAATAGTGCGAAATCGCGTGTTCGTACCTCAGAGTGTGTACATTCGGTACTTCGTCGTCTTCCAAATTTACAACTGTGAGTTTCAAATTAAGCTTTGTTAAAAAGACCGAGATGTTGCCGCTAATTAATATTTGCAGCATTTGAGCACAATTTCGCCATAGTTTGAACAACCATGTTTGAATGTGGACCTATCGAGCTCTGTCATTCCATGTAGTGAGTTTTGTTTTTTCCTATGATTTATCAATTTGCATTGGGTTGTTGAAAAATATGTAGTAAACATCGTGGCTGCATTAACAACCTACTCAGTTTATACCATTTGCAAAAAGGGTCGTCATGTTACACACAGAAGTGATATACGTACCTGTGATGTCACAAGATGTGATTGCTTCTGTTTTTACCATGTACAAAATCCGATGTGGTGCCAAAACATCACAGCGTTTTGGAAAAAACGAATCGCATTTCGATTTGATGCAATGACCCAATTGAAGACACCGCAAGTTAGGAACACTTTTTTTTAATTGAAGAAATTCGTGCTTAAAGGCCGTCACCTGATCATTCCATTTTCTGTTCTTGTATAACGTGTATTGTGTAACTGTTCAATTTTATTTTGCAATTTAACTACAGTTATCACACATTTGAATTGCGATGCAGCAGAGCTGTAAAACAAACCAGCAAGGAATATTTACCAGTACTATGAACAGAGAACAGGGTTTTAACCATTACCGATTCTTTCAAATAGAACACGACTTATTTAAAAACAAATATTTTAATTTTTTTCTAGGTTACTGTCTTAACCATAGATTTTATTTTCTACCACAAATTGATCTGGTAGTCATTTCAAAGAGAGAAATATGTTTGTTCCCATTGAGTACAGCTTTTGGTGTATATTATACCACGATACCGTATTAGAATCAACATGATACTTAACTGTAGATGTATAAGATACTAAAAACGACTAACTCAGCTGTGCAAAACCCCTCATGCCAGGAATTGATTATTTGTTGTGTTCTGGTTTACGTCGTATCCTGTTTGATTACATCAGTAACATTTAGGCTCGTTCACACACACGCCACCCCAAACCATAATGATGCTTTCTCCAATTGACGTCATTTTGACATTACACATTGTCATTACATGGCGCGATATTTAGGAAAGGTGCAACATGTTGTATTTAACATTAAGCCTTTACCTGTCAACCATTGATATGAAAAATATACTGTCGGCTATACTACAACACTACATTACGAACAAAATTTAAAACTGTATGTTAGGTGTCAATTGTTTAATTCAATTATTTACCTAAACATGCCATGTTGGGGAAAATTCATACTCAAGAAATCCCGGCCAATACGTTCTGAAGATTTCTATGGTAATAAACTTTGTCTAAATTTATACCTCAAATGGAAAATTCTATTTTGAGCATTCCCTAAAAGAATTATTAAATATTGAGATCCAGATTTTGAAATAGGAAATTCAAATAAGTACCATTCATACTTCTATCATTGTTCCACCACGGTTCGTCACACAGACATTTAAAATATACCATACATACATACATATATAATCAAAAAATATACGACGATATTTACGTCAACGCGATTATGCAAAAATTGTATTTTCAATACACGTAATCGTTTGCTATCTTCTTAAGTTGATTTTTCTTGAGGGTTTTTGTTTATGACATTTTCCAGATAAATATTTATGCAGAATTTCGTGTATGTGTACTTTACAGGCATAAGAAAGATGAACAGAAATGCAGCGCGGCTTTGTAACACAGAGATTGCACGTTTCAATTGTTACAAATTCTTGGCCTTTCGAGTTTGACATATTTTGCAGTGCACACTATTAATATTTAACACCTGGTTCAAACAGTGACGTTACTGGCAGTGCTCATGCGAGTTATAATTCTGGCACAAGTGTAAAGAGACTGTATCATGATAGAGCATGTGTGGACAAAATGCCAGTCATTGGTTTGGAAGATCGTGATACTGTCTTTAGTTGCAGGTACACAGTACAGTGATAACAAACAGCGGGTTAGAAATACAGACAGCAATATTTAGTTGAAACATTTGCTGGCGAATGATCTAATATATACAAAGTTGCCAATGGGGCGGAAATTGTTGAGCAGCTTCCTTCTTTCACTCAATTTTACCACTTCTGCTTGATAGAAAAAATGGACTAAGGTCATTTAAATGTTGCAGCTATGTCAGTTTTCTCAAAAATCATTTTTTTGAACAAATATATAGTATCAATTATACGAGAGTGTTTTTTTGACTAACATATCTTGCATTGGACGATTTAATTTCCGTCGATAGGTAAAATGAGCGTTATTGACCACTTGTTTACACATTGTACAATTAAAATCGTACTGAGCATTAGCACAGCACTTGCTTTGTTAAATATGTGGTTTCAGAAAAGTGAATATTTATTTAGTTATTTATCTATTGTTTTATTAGATACATTCCACTGTCGAGATACAATAATTTGACCATGTCATTAACATTGACCACATGTATTACGCATGCAGTTATTATGGTTGTGTAATTTTAATATTATGCAGTTGTATGCTTATCAATAGTATACAGATGTGCCAGTGTAGTCATGTTAAGAAGTTCAACGACTATTATGCATATAAACTTGTCCTCCGTATCACCATATATGGCCCTCATTGTAATTTTGTATATATTAGGATATACCTCATTGACTGCGTTATTACACCAGGCTTCAATCAAAAAATAAATCTATAAGTTAAAGCTATGATCATGATTAGATAACATTGTTTGTATCACTATATTAAATAATTCCGGAGATGTGTTGCAAAGGTAATTTTACCCATTCAATTCAATTGACACCCAGGAAAACCAAAGCTAAACAGTCAAACACAAAGATACTAACTTCAATACAATAACAATTTCATTATGCGGTGATATTGGGGACAGGCTGTCCGGTTGGCCGAGGATTCTACTGCAGTTCAACAAATCATGTCTTTTTACAAATGAAGATGTGCATATTAATAACAGGTCACAGTTGTTTACCACAATGACTTTTTGTACACTTTAATAGCTTTATTTTTTTTTAAACCACACACTTTAAGAATAAGTCTTCAAAGCATGGAATATTTGTAACCATGTTGTAGGTTTATAATCTACATTTCAAATGCACAATTGTGCATACAGGAATCTTTTAGAAATCAACTTCTTCAGAAATTTAACCTTACTTCAAGAAAATAGTGATTATTTTTGGAGAAAAATAAAGTTGTTGATTTAAAAAAGTAACTTATGCACGTCATGTATGTTACGTTATCATAATCGATGTTTGATGCATGTACTCAACACAATTTATGAAAAATGCGAGCATACCATGTTCCATTCTATGTCACTCACGCTAATAATGTCGCCACCATTTATTTGGTGTGAGGAAATCATTTTTGTAGCTTCCGTTCAGAATCATTTATCATACATACCTCACCAAAATCCGATGAAAGCACTGGATATACATTTGGGCAAACTGCTCTGAGGTCGAAAATAGGCAATAAGTGACAATAAAATAGCTTACCTGAGGGGCCCAGCACCATTTATCACCATTTTATATCACTGACGGGTTTGGCTAAGGTACGTTTGACTTCACTGTGTTAAAGTTTGGGAGCGGGACTTTTCTACGTTCAGTCATAGTTACCTTGCTAAATTCCGATGTAAATCATTGGATATACATTTGGACAGATTACAAAGCACACCCAGGAGACAGGTGATCAACAGTGGGTCCAGGTTATCAGTGACCATTCAGAAAATGTCCCAAGTAGGAAAAGGAGATACAGTTAAACATAATAAAAAAAGCTAATATCTAAATGAAGACAATAAAAAAGACTTTACGGTTTTGCTGAACTAGTTGTAGTCTCGCCCATGTATTGGAAGATATAGTGGGGCCAAAACATGAAACTAATTAATGTTGTGTTGATTTAAAAACAGACTACTTAGCATTACGGGTGTACATGACTCTGAAGCCGAAGAAATCTCATCACAATAAACATAGGGTAAGACCTGAACAACAATAAAAACAGGATAATGCAACTGTGAAACTCTCAAAAGAAAAAATTGCACTTAAGTTATTTTTTTCCCCACGCCCTTATTTCTTGTGTGGACTAACGACAGATTCGTTGACCAACAACCACCAAAGCCCAGGTGGTACAATAAAGACGTTCGATCCAGTGGCTAAAAGGATTGGCACCACTGACTGTCAGTGAGTTTGCCAGAAGAATATGCGAGTGTTGGAAACAGTCTTAGGTATTTGCTGTATATCCACCAGCTAATCATCATAGGGCATCACCACTAATGGCACGTGTTTTGTAGTAACAACTACAGCTCTTGTCCTTACTACTGACAATCTTCGATAACTAAGAGATAATAAGGGGAGTTGCGTCAAATCCTGAAATCAAAATCTGTAATTTCTCTTCGCTTCCAACCGAGGCTGCAACTATTGCTCCAATCAGGCAGTCTCTAGGTTACTGCCTTGACTAAAAATAGAACAAAATACTATTCATGGGTTTGATTCTAGTTCCACACCAGTGTACACATATACCACTTGTCCAAGGCAAGCCCTGTATCCTTTATTTAGTGGGTGAAACATACCTTCAGTATGAAACAATTGTTTGAAAAAAAATCTGTTACTAGAAGCAAAGTGGGCTACACACCATCACAGAAATGTCTCCATCCATACTTAGAATCAAATGATATTTGGGGTCTGGCTAGTCAATTGTCATTGGAACAGCACCTGACCAATAGAAATAATGGCAGGCATACAGGCCTTGCCAATACTGATGACATACCTCCTGAGCTTGAAGTATCTGACTGAAGCAAATAGGTCATCCTCAACAATATAAACAGAATTGTTATTAGCTGCTTTTAATGTGCCACTCAAAGTTGGACAGCACAATAGCCGCACGCTTGGGTAGTTTACCCAAATGTATATTCAATGCTTACATTGAATTTCTACGGAATGTAGAAAAATAGTACTACAGATGATAGTCATGATGGTTTTGAAACCGGGGGCATGCAGAATAAGATTCTGATAACTGTACAATTACAGTAATTTGTTCACAACTTAATTTACTGCCAACAGTATGGAAATTAATTGTGATGTTTGATGACTAGTAGAATATATTGTCACAACCAAGAATTTTCTTTCTGCTAGTTCTGTCCAAATTGCTACATGCCTACTTACCAAAATGACAGTGATTACAACTCTTCATTACAAATCGATCGACTATGGAAGATGTGATGAAAAGAGGAAATGCAAGTCTAAAGTATCAGTTCCATAGCGCAGTTTTGTCAGTTAGATATTACAGACACCTTTTAACAGATTCCACTTCATTTATTCGTGGTAGGTCAAACCACAAATTAAAACATGTTATCTCATGCAGTGTGCTAGATCGCAGTAAATTATCTCAATATTTAGTTTATAATTCAAAAACTTGATGATTTTTTGACAGTAGATATTACACCAGATGCTAGCACTCTATAAAATGAAAGTGATTACTTCACTATTTAGACTGTTGAATGTACCACTAGCACCCCATAAAACTATATCAGACTAACACATGGGTATTGCGTTTAATTCTCAAAATATGAAAGTACCTCTTCCTTTCAATAATAAAGAGGGTTGTGAATTTGATCGAGACGTGTATAAGTGCCAGCTCTAACTGTACTGGGACACCTCAACTTTGCTGCAAATGTTGTTATACAAAGTTGATCATTTACTTATTTGCTGCAGCTGACGCCTTGATACACAAAGTACACATTTTGTATTAGAATCAGTCATGCAGTCTTGAAATGTGGAAAGTATATTTTGAATAGCAAAATCACATGTGCACCCGACTTGCAATTATTTACTGTTGAATCGTACATGGGATTTAGAAGACATTTTCCACATTTTTCTACATACTATCACCACAGACAAATGCAACCATTTGGACATAGCATTTACAGCTGCCTTTAACTCTACAGCAACAATTACATAGGGTAGGCATTGTGGCCTCTGCCACATACGACAAGTGCACATACTATCGCCACAAAGAGAAAACGCAGTGTTGCTTTCATTACCATGAAAGAATTTCCAACTACTTACACAGTTCTGTAGTTTACAGTCATTTTTATTGTTACAAGTTTTTTTTTGTTTTTCATATTATTTCATGTTATACTTTATACTTATAAGTGTTGAATATAAATATTTGAAAGTTTATTTCTCTTTGCAACATGCACCGACTTTGTTGATGAGCTTTAGTAACCGTGTGCCAAAGATTGAACTAAATAGTTTTTACTAATAGTGTATTTCAAGTGTGCGAGTTCGTAACTGGGTAGGTCGTTCTGTCCATGATTATCCTTGGCTACACTTCTACACATTGTTTATGATGTTGGAGATTTGAATTGCAATTTGTCCAGCTAGTATTTGTAAGTGCACTAAATCTTCTTTTTGGGGGCAGTGCGGCATTCGGGTTGAGAATTGCAAGGTAAAATCTCGTGTTTCATGTTTATAGGTTTGTGTATGTACCTGTAATTTTCATTTCATAAGTGGATAGACGGTCAACTACCTAAACAAACCGATTGATGACATCAGTCTATACTTGGTAGCTCAAATTAAATATAAAAAGAAAGTGACCAGCATATACTTGCACATGTTTTGACAAACGATTTCTGGTGTAATATCAATCTATTTCTATTTCACTGCATCAGAAATGTGACCTTTTGGGACAATATCACTTGGAATAATGTTGCAAAATGGTGTATTCATTCCATTTTACAACACAATACCCGAGATATCATTCCTAGATAAATACCAAAATATTAATATTCTGTCTTCTCGTGCCATATTATGTTTTCATATTACCTCCTTTTGGCGTGAATATGGCAGAACAGGGCTCCAGCATCATTGTGATGACGATATGCCCTACTCCATGCATCTCGTTTTAGTATACTTTCCCACTTATTTACTTGACAAATGTTGGCACCAAAATACTTGAAGGACCAAACATCGCAAGTAGTAATTGAATATAAAAGAAGTTAGAAAGTCTTGTCAGACAAACATCAGACAACACAATGTTGTAATAGCATTTCTCTGGCAAGCTCAAAAGATCCACTGCTCTGGTAAATCAGGGACAAGTTATAAGCACTCTCCTTCCTGAGATCAAAGTAGTCACCATCATCTACGACTTTCGGCAGTGAAAGGGATTTCTTGTAATAGTGAATTGCCAGATGTACAAGTCCTGGTAAAATTGATACAAGAAAATTCAAAGGCGTGGAACTTACACTTTTGTGAGTAATTAATGTTACACTGCTGTATAATTCTCAAGTTCCAAGGATCCAATATCTATGCTATAAATTTACACATGTATTAGACTAAAGGTGCAGTACTCATTTTGAATAACTTCCCACTTGCTTCTGTTTTTCGATCGTTCTTTTTCATCATGCCTTTGAGATGGCTTGTTGAAATAGACTTATTAATTATCTGACAGCACAAACAAACCGCCCTACTGCTCCCTTGCATTTAAAATTCAAACCACTAAAATGTTCTGATCCTTAATTGATTTATAGTACTGTTTCTGCTTTTCAGAGACATTCAATAGACGTATAAAGTTCAGGTCGTTTTTTGATAGAAATCGCTCTGAAATAGCATTAATTAAAACAAAATGGACACTGATGGGTCATTTTGAATACATTTGTATATCTATAACATGATGTACAATGAATATATAAAATTTTAACATAATCAGTAAAAGTATGTCACAGAACCGCATTTATTAAAACAAAATGGCCACCAGTTGACCATTTGAAGCTGAAAAAACAAAATGATGTGCATCAGGGGCCAATAATGTCAATAATATGTACCAAGTTTGAACTAAATCCATCCATAAACAGCTGAGACCTGGTCCGAGAATGCCAGAAATGCTTGATGATTTGTCAGTACAAGAATGGCTGTTATTTGGCCATCTTAAACGTGATCATGAAACAAATTGATGTGCAGATGTATAATATTATGTATGATGTATGTGTGAAGTTGAGTGTAATCGGCCCAGGCATGTCTAAGAGGTAAATCCTCATTTTTGGAGTGCGTCTGATTGGAAACTAAAAATAAACACATTATTTTTCACTAGAATCAGAACAAAAAACTGAGTATCCAAATCATGTAACAAAAGGTCATAAATTAAAGTTGCGACTGTGATCAATACAAAGTGTCATTCCCATTCCCAGATGACACTTATTGTATCTTCAAACTTTACCATTGAAAAAACTCATACGCCAGTGATCAGTGTTTTCTATTACAGTAACATTGGTTTTCAAACTTACCCAACTGGTGAAACGCCCTTCCAAGATTATAGTAGGACTCTTGGCACTCTCCTCTCATGTCTAGGTATCGTTGTAGAAATGCAAAGCCCTGTCAGTAAGCATATATGTTAGAAATAGTGATTAACATCAATATATTGCAATATCTGAATATATGTTTTCTACGTTATAATCAAATACTAATATACAAGCATAAATGGCACATTTTACCGGTACATTTATTTTATGTATTTTAATCCTACCATATTAGGAAATGCGAATTCAAAATATGAAATGATTACGCGCATAAGCATCCTCTAATAATAATAAAAACAAACATGGCTGCCACCATGGTTTGATCGAACTCCACACAAAGAAGTTTGCTGATTCTGTTGTTAGGCATTTCGGCATTCACATGATGTATCCTTGGAAATTAAAGAAAAGATGTATAATAATAAGGTTGGAATATTACATTACAAAGGTACCTCAAAGTATGCACTCAAACAGTACACGTCGATACTCTCGCTGTACTGTCTTTGTCCATACTTTGAGGTATCCTCGTAATAACCTCATATTATTTCGCACCTGAACAATAAGAGAATGACGTTTTACAGCATATTTCTGAGAAGCCATCTGCATAAAAGTTAACCCAATACACATTGCCAACATCGCATTATTTCTGTCAATGCTGAATCCTCGTACATATTCACCTGGATCAAAGACAAAAATAGTACAGACAATTTTACAAAAAAACTGTTTAAATGTTTAACTGATGCATGATACCACAAAACAGCACCCTCAATATCAACTGAACTGATATTACTACTCTGGTAGCATCACTAAGGTGCACTACGAACTGGTACCATAACTATTGTCTCCACATGATAACGCCAATCATTAAAACAAATCAGAAATCTGCAGTGGGCAATCATTCTATGCTGAACTAGCCACTGTTCAGTCATGCTTAAACATAATTTTTATTAGCATCATGGCATCCCAACACTAATCAAGGACCAGATTGCAAAATCAGTTAGCGTAAGCAGTGCTAAGCTTTTCAAAGATATGGAAGCACTGATGTCTTCCCATTTGGATGACTTAGCTACACAAATCACAGCAACTCAGCAAGTTTTCACTCAGAAGCAATGAGCAATACGCTTCAAAAGAAATCATGCGAGGAACAATTGATGAGTTGGCCGAAGCAGAGAAGGAACTTGATAACGTCCATCTGGTCGCTGCTATAAAACGGATTGCTGAAGGTATGTCTATCCTTGCAAAAGTTTGTTCATCTGGCAGATTGTGAAGAATTGGGGTAGAAAGTTGTTGAGTACAAGGTGCATGATTTATCAGAAGTTTCAGATGACAAAAAGCGACTTTGGAAAGTGGTTTTGAGGGTCGTAAGCAAAAGGAGCAAGCATTGAAAAACTATTGTCTTCACATAATCGTTGGCTTTGTGTTAATCATGTGATTTTTATGTATAAAAAAGCAGAATTCTGCAGTGGGCAATCATTCTATGCTGAACTATAGCCACAGTTCAGTCGTGCTAAATATTTTTATTAGCCTAATTTAGTATACTGGATGAAACCCGACATCCATTCTCTCGCATACATGATTAGGCTAGGGGCTAGGTTTCCAGCTGTATTTTACCTCAAAAAGGGGTTTTTATCTCCGTTTTCCTGGGCTTCTGTGTGTCGAGAGAAGGGGGAAATATTTTTGCTAATTCATACTGTGTATTGCGTATTTTTAAGTCAATGTGCAGTCTTCATACAATTTCAACTATTACTATCACAAGAGGGCATTCTCCAATCTAGTACTATCACAGGAGGGCATACTTCAAACTGACACCATCACAGAAGGGAATACTTCAAACTGACACCATCACTAGAGGGCATACTTCAAACAGACACCATCACGAGAGGACATACTTCAAACTGGTACCATCACTAGAGGGCATACTTCAAACTCATACCATCAAGAAGGCATAGTTCAAACTAGTACTATCAGAAGAGGGCATACTTCAAACTGACACCATCACTAAAGAGCATAATTCAAACTAGTAACATCAGGACATACTTCAAACTAGTACTATCAGAAGAGGGCATACTTGAAACTATTACTATCACTAGAGGGCATACTTCAAACTGACACCATCACTAGAGGGCATAATTCAATTTATACTATCACTAGAGGGCATAATTTAAACTCATACCATCAAGAGGGCATAGTTCAAACTAGTACTATCAGAAGAGGGCATACTCCAAACTAGTACTATCACTAGAGAGCATACTTCAAACTGGTACCATCACTAGTGGACATAGTTCGAACCAGTACTATCAGAAGAAGGCATACTTCAAACTGACACCATCACTAGAGAGCATAATACAAACTAGTAACATCAGGACACACTCCAAACTAGTACTATCAGAACTGATACCATCCCTAGAGGACATACTTCAAACTGATACCATCACTAGAGGGCATACTTCAAACTGATACCATCACTAGAGGGAATACTGGAAACTGGTACCATCGCTAGAGGGCATACTTCAAACTACTACCATTACTGGAGGGAATAGTGCAAACTGGTACCATTACTAGAGGGCATACTTCAAACTGGCACCATCACCAGAGGGCATACTTCAAACTGGTACCATCACTAGAGGGCATACTTCAAACTGGCACCATCACCAGAGGGCATACTTCAAACTGGCACCATCACTAGAGGGCATACACTTCAAACTGGTACCATCACTAGAGGGCACACTTCAAACTGGCACCATCACTAGAGGGCATCCTCGGGGGCGGCGCTACGTCACAAGACGTTCCATGTTGCTAAGACGCGCACCACTGTACATGCATTTCTATGGGCTCTGTGCGCGCTGCTGTGGAACGCCGGTCGAGCCGGTGAAATTCGAGAAAACAACACAAACTCAACTTTGAAGTAATCCCGACCAACCAAATTTATATATGTTACACACGTAGGGCTAATCTTGTTACACTGTTCAGAGGAGTCTCAACAGTCATCCCAAAGTACCGTTTTCTGCGAGTTTTGAGCCTTTGTTTTCACCGCCGCGGGTCGCCAGGCGGTGAAAATGCCCGGATGTCCGCGCCCGAGGATACTTCAAACTGGCACCATCACCAGAGGGCATACTTCAAACTGGTACCATCACTAGTGGACATAGTTCGAACCAGTACTATCAGAAGAAGGCATACTTCAAACTGACACCATCACTAAAGAGCATAATTCAAACTAGTAACATCAGGACATACTCCAAACTAGTACTATCAGAAGAGGGCATACTTGAAACTATTACTATCACTAGAGGGCATACTTCAAACTGACACCATCACTAGAGAGCATAATTCAATCTAGTAACATCAGGACATACTCCAAACTAGTACTTTCAGAAGAGGGCATACTTGAAACTATTACTATCACTAGAGGGCATACTTCAAACTGACACCATCACTAAAGAGCATAATTCAAACTAGTAACATCAGGACATACTTCAAACTGATACCATCACGAGAGTGGATACTTCAAACTGGTACCATCACTAGAGGGCATACTTCAAACTGATACCATCACTAGAGGGGATACTGGAAACTGGTACCATCGCTAGAGGGCATACTTCAAACTATTACCATTACTGGAGGGAATACTGCAAACTGGTACCATTACTAGAGGGCATAATTCAAACTTATACCATCACTAGAGGGCATACTTCAAACTGATACCATCACTAGAGGGGATACTTCAAACTGATACCATCACGAAAGGGGATACTGGAAACTGGTACCATCACTAGAGGGCATACTTCAAAATGATACCATCACTAGAGGGCATACTTCAAACTGATACCATCACTAGAGGGCATACTTCAAACTGCTACCATCACTAGAGGGCATACTTCAAACTGCTACCATCACTAGAGGGCATACTTCAAACTGATACCATCACTAGAGGGCATACTTCAAACTGATACCATCACTAGAGGGCATACTTCAAACCGATACCATCACGAGAGGGAATACTTCAAACTGATACCCTCACTAGAGGGGATACTTCAAACTGGTACCATCACTAGAGGGCATATTTCAAACTGGTACCATCGCTAGAGGGCATACTTCAAACTATTACCATTACTGGAGGGAATACTGCAAACTGGTACCATTACTAGAGGGCATACACTGCAAACTGGCACCATCACCAGAGGGCATACTTCAAACTGACACCATCACTAGAGAGCATAATTCAATCTAGTAACATCAGGACATACTCCAAACTAGTACTTTCAGAAGAGGGCATACTTGAAACTATTACTATCACTAGAGGGCATACTTCAAACTGATACCATCACTAGAGGGGATACTTCAAACTGATACCATCATGAGAGGGGATACTTCAAACTGATACCATCACTAGAGGGCATACTTCATACTGATACCATCACCAGAGGGCATACTTCAAACTGGCACTATCACTAGAGGGCATACTTCAAACTGGTACCATCACTAGAGGGCATATTTTAAACTGGTACCATCACTAGAGGGCATACTTCAACTGATACCATCACCAGAGGGCATACTTCAAACTGGCACCATCACTAGAGGGCATACACTTCAAACTGGTACCATCACTGGAGGGCATACTTCAAACTGGTACCATCACTAGAGGGCATACTTCATACTGATACCATCACCAGAGGGCATACTTCAAACTGGCACTATCACTAGAGGGCATACTTCAAACTGGTACCATCACTAGAGAGCATATTTTAAACTGGTACCATCACTAGAGGGCATACTTCAACTGGTACCATCACTAGAGGGCATACTTCAACTGATACCATCACCAGAGGGCATACTTCAAACTGGCACCATCACTAGAGGGCATACACTTCAAACTGGTACCATCACTGGAGGGCATACTTCAAACTGGTACCATCACTAGAGGGCATACTTCATACTGATACCATCACCAGAGGGCATACTTCAAACTGGCACTATCACTAGAGGGCATACTTCAAACTGGTACCATCACTAGAGGGCATATTTTAAACTGGTACCATCACTAGAGGGCATACTTCAACTGATACCATCACTGGAGGGCATATTTTAAACTGGTACCATCACTAGAGGGCATACTTCAACTGATACCATCACTAGACGGCACACTTCAAAATTGTAATGTTACTAGAGGGTATACTACAAACAGGTACTATCATTACATTGTGATGTTATTCTTACCTAGTGCATGTTTCAGGCTTCCTGAGAGGAAAGCATTGTGGCCATTCAAGATACACAATGCAAGATTGTCGGAATGCTAGAAAAAAACTTAAATAACAATTAGATACCCACACATCACGTTTATCTTTACAAATGTTCTACTAGCATATACACAAGGCAGAGAAGATGAAACATTTAACATTCTTGCACTTTTTTCTCATACATCCTGAAAACAGAAAACATTTCAAAGGAAATGAAACTTACACAGTGTTGGCACAGCATGATATTTTTTAAAAACATGCATTGTACATGTATACATTGCATGCATGGAACCAACATTAAACAGTATACAGGATACCAGGGATGTTTTTAAACAAGGGATCAGGGGCACAGCGCCCTCATGCCATGGCCATGCGCCCCTTTAGCCCGGGGGCAGATCCTCTGGCAACCATAAATTCTGATTGACCAAGGGATCACATGTGGCCACAGTCTTCAACTATGACCTGTCTGATAGTAATTTTGGCCCCAAGGAAGCCATAGAATGCTCCATTTTAACTGGTAGGGAGAACCCTATCTCCCCCATTTGATGGCACTGCTGAATTGCAGTGCTCCTTCTTGCATTTTTTTTCTAGAAAAACCCCTGAGGATACTGACTGCGATATTATGATAGAAAACCAAAAAGCTGTGCAGAAGCTTACAACAATTGACATTGGCAGTAAGCATGTTTTGTGTTGTTAACTTTACCTTCAGCATTAACCGAAGACAAAACTTATTATGTCTGGAGTCATGAGTGTGCAGGATAATCTGAGCAAATAGATTCCACAGTTGTGTACTTTCTGGCTTCTACAATAAAAAAATATGAAAAAATTAATTTAAATTGAAAAAAACAAACTCTGCAGTTTACTTTGAGTTAAGATGCTGGTCATTGCATTGTGTTAAACTGATGTCACTGTTTTTATGCAAAATTATTTCGGTGATGTAAAAAACATTTTTCATCTGGTATTATGATTGATTTATGGCAACAGATAATTAATTACAATTACATATAAATTTAACTCACATAATTAATTACAATTACATTACATTGTGTAGGAATGAATTATTTCATCTATGGTAGCAGAGCGATAGTGAATAGTGCCAGTTACATGCACCAAGGTCTCATAATGTTTAATGTATGTTCAAAGTTTGTACAAAATCCTTCAACACACAAGTAAGACCTGGTTCCAGGATGACACTCACCCATCTTGAATTGATGATAGAAAGAAAGTATATTCATATATGATGCATGATGTATGTGTGAAGTTTGAACGTGATCTTGTCTGAGAAAAAAGAATGGATGCATAAATACACAATACATAGAATAAAATCCATCCAAACTAAACGACTAAAAACTTGAAGAACTTACCTCCATAATCATTGGTCGGATGAAATTATACGCCAGCCTATAATTGTGATTGAAATAGTGAGCTAATAAACAAATATAATCTAACTCCTGTAAATGAAGCAAATTAAACAACATGTCAATAATTAGGTTGACCAGAAAAGGTGGAGATGTGCACAAAAATGAGATATTCACAGTCAATAATGACAGGGTCCATAGCATCAAGAGCCAAATGATTTCCAAGACTTTTCCAGACCTTTTCACAAACTTTTTTGCATTTTTCCAAGACATTTTAACCTTTAACTAATTCAATTAATTTAATTCAGGCCAACATCATCACCAAAGCTCATCAAAGTTCTGAGGATATGGTAGTTCCCCGTTAAATTTTTGAAAGTTCTCTTTGTGCTCAGCATATTAAAGCGGAAGGGTTGTCGCGAGCGTGTCCTTGAAACTTGAGTTCCATATACTTGAGTGGCATATACAACAGATTATTTATTTACATCAAAACACGTGTTCCGTGTAGTAGTAATATGGCCAAAAATAAAAACAGCCGTTATTTGGCCATCTTTGATCTGATTATGAAACACACTGATATGATGTATGTGCCAAATACAAATGAAAGTGGTACATAAATTGTGGAAATATAGTAGTAAGGCCAAAAAGTCTGATGGCTGCCAATCGGCCATCCTTGACCAGATTTTGACTAGATGTATAAAGTACATGTATGTGCCAAATTTGAATGAAAACTGACAGAGCACTTCCAAGATACCGCATATAAAAAAACAAGATGCCTGCCAGTCGACCATCTTTGATCCAATTGCGATATAAATCGTCATGGACATGTATCCTAACATGTATAATCTATGTACCAAGTTTGAATGAAAACTGACAAAGCATGTCCAAAAAAAAACATTTTCAAAAAACAAA